CAACAACAATAAAACCAAATTCAATAAACTTTTTTTTATTTTAATTCTATATATTTGTAGCATTAAAATAAAAAAATGTTTATTGAATTTAATCAAGTAGTTATTGAGGAACCTTTGCTAAAAGTTTTAAAAAAATCTTTAGTTTAACTAGTATATCCCGTGATTATCTGATGATCATCAATGATCAGAAAATTTCGTAAGGTGCCAGGCTTTAAACGACCCCCTTTTTTGGTTGTGTTACTCGCACAAATAAGTAAAATCAAATAAATAAATCTGCCCATATGATATACTTTCGCTTTTATCCAAAAATTTTATTTTAAATTTTCGTTGCTATAAAGCTTTCATTTATTATCGAACATGGGCAAACATAAATATACTAGAAGCCATATAAAACATAGCTTCCTTCGAGCTAATCGTGGTAAAAATGAAGATTCTAATAAAACTTCTGTTAAAGAAGAAATTGCAAATGGGGTTTCAGTTGCTGAACCCATACAGGGCGAAACTTGTTCTATTGTTGATTTGAATGAAATAATAATAATAATAATAATAATAATAATAATAATAATAATAATAATTATAATAATAATAGGCTTTGGGAAGAAAATTCAGAATTGCAGAAGCAAGTTAGTACATTGAAAGAAGAGATAAACGAACATCGTAATTAGAGTGGATGGGGAAATATGATGTGCATATATATGCATATGTGACATGTTTTTCGTGAATCATATGTGAACATATATGCACATATGTATATTAAATTTACAAGAATGAACACCTTTACAGGCCATAAATTTTGAAATTTTATATATTTACACTTTTTTCTTCCAAAATATCCAGTGCGTTATAGAGAAAATTAGCTGTATTTAGAAGAAATTACGAATCTGAATATAGGTTTATTTCTTAACTTATAATTAATTTATTTGGCTTCGACCTATATTAAGATATATTATATCAGAGTTACCTGACGTCAAAATTATGTCAAGATTGCATATTAATGCAATCATCAATATTTTTATTTCCTCTTGTCTATATGGAAGGAAAAAGTTTAATATAATGTTTGCTTGGAATTTATTATTTAATCTAAAAATTATTCGATTTTATTAAAATACATTAAATTCAAAATACCAATTGAATTTTCTGAAAGAGCTTGTCTTCTATCTGTAAGAATATTTTTATATACAGAGAAGCTTCGCTCAACATCAACTCCCGAAACAGGAAGCCAAATATAAACTAAAGCTATTTGCGACAAATTAGGAAGGTGCGTAGCTTTTTCTTTCCAATAAGAATCTAAATCAAAATCATTATCATAGGTAAAAGCTTCATCTATTTTACAATAAACTTCCCATTCACGTATAATAACATTATTAGGATTTTCAAGCTCGGGAATATATTTGTACAAATTAATATTTTGCTGATTTTGTTGTGAATGAAAATACTGGGGATCAAAACATTGAATTGCTTTAAATAAAGGTAAAGAAGAATGTTGATCGATGTGTTTTTTAAACTTATTTAATGCTGACTGATATGTCTCCCGGAACCGGCTATATATCGTGAAGAATCTATATGCGATATATTAAATATAGTTAGTATTTTATCATTTAAAAATGGATCAACGGTACCAGATTGAAGTTGTGCTTCAAGTTGTATTAAATGATTCGACACAAAAGGTGCTACAGGTTTATTGCGAATTTTAAAAAATTCTAATGCATTAAAAAGGCTATACGTACATATGAAAAATAAATATATTAATAATTTTTTTTTAGATAAAAAAAACCTGTTATTATTACCTTTGTGCATTAAACGTGATAAATGCGGATAAAATTTCAAATTCGGATACAAGTACAGGATCTTTAAAAATAGATATTAATTTCTGCACTGTCTTGCTTTCATTATCGTTACTAATAAGCTCCTCGTTTAAATAAAAATTCTTTAGTTGAGGAATATATTTGTCGATCCAAAAACAAAATTGAACCAAGAATTCCATTTTGTTTTAACAGGAAATAGGGTAAGGTCGATGATATTTCAAGATTTTGTGAATTTAAAAAAGAAATCTATCTTTGTTTGCATACATTATTATGCATGAATGAGGCTTTAATTTGCATTACTATGTCGTCTAATAATTTAAAATTTTTATGACCCACCTACATTTCACCCACCAAATTTAATATATGTGCCAAACAATGATTATGTTTCATTTGGGTTATTAAAGGAGATAAAATACTAAATGCTTTTAACATATAGGAAGCATTGTCCGAAATAAAAAAAATAATATTTTCAAATGAAATATTATAAAATTGGAGGGGTTTCATTACTAATTGTGCGATAGTAGTACTATTAACAACATCTAAATGCTCGGTTTTAACTAGTTTGGTTGTATTATAAAAACTAAATAATACATTTACAGCAGCCCTTCCACAAATATCAGGTGATTCATCGATAGTAATAGAAATTTGTTTTCCAACTAAGAGTTGCTTTAAATTCTCGATTTCTGAATTAAATGCAATGGGCAAGTATCTGCCACACAATTGAGTAGATTCAACGATAGAACCACCTATTATACAAATAATAATTAATTAATATTTAATTAACAAATTAAGAATCTTCACTAACAAAATTAGCTTACCGTTTTTACAGTACTTCAAGAAAAATGGTTTAAGCTTATCAACTTTCTCAAGTGGGATATTAGATCGAGTTAAAGCGTGAATTAAATCTATATTAATTGCATCACGTTCTTCTCGACAAGTATTAATATTAGGAGCCGGTTTATTAATTTCTTGTGGATTTCCTTTGGCTTTATGTTTGTTGGTTTTATGTTTATCAGTTTTTAGATGTTGATCAAGTAAAAACTTATTTTTATAATTTATGATACATTTACAGAAGGTACAATATAAACTTTCACCTTCAATGTAAAAGTTTTTTTTGTACTCTTCGTTTTCATTAATGCGGTTAAAGAAATAACTAGTTAAGAATTCTTGTAATTTTTGCTTAGTTAATATCTAAATAAAACAGTGGCAGAACATGCCGAAAAAAAAAAAGAACACCTAACAACTAGCCTTAACACAGACGCTAATCTAGCATAAACAAATTTATACTAACACGTGGCAGTAGAATTTTGGTGATGGTGCTGAGAAAGATAAATCCAATTTTGGGAAGGCTGACAGTATTATTTTATATAATAATCTTCTTTATATGGGTTATAAATTTGTCATTTCTTCTGCAGAAAATTATTAGAATAAAATATGAATAATAAATAATAATTAGATTCTTCATCAGATGTGGATCATCCATAAGACGTCTTTTTTTGATTGTGAATAGGTATGCTCATTTGTTAAAGAACAATAGTCTTGTATTTATATTTTCTGTAATTAAATAAATACCATAGTGCACTGACTAAAAGACCCGGGGTCTAATACAAAAAACCTGTCAAAAAACTTACAAAAGACCCGAGTATATTATATAGCAGTGGGTCTGTATCACAAGAAAGAGAAATTTCTTTTATATACATACTCCGCATTCATGATAAGCAGTTAAAATTTTAAAAAACCTATATTTAATTAATAGAGATCTCGTGTTTTGCACTGGGTATTTTGCAAGGGGGATAATGAAAAGGGGGGATATTTGGTCAGTGCACTACGGTACTTAGTTATAATAATAGTAGTTAAAATAAACATAATAGGGGGTTTCAAAATTAAAAGCAGAGAAATTTATTTTATTTTTCTGATTTATAATTCAACATAGTACAGTAGTAAAAATGCTATTGAAAAAATCCTGCTTATTTTCGGAATGCGTCACTTATTTGTTAATTTCGTAACCCCTAAATACTAAAATTTATTCTTCTCTTCTTTCCTCCATTTCTTGTACTACTCCCTCATCATCGTCGTCATTTATAATATATACATCACCAGATTCTCTTGCAAATCTTTCTCTTTCCACTGCTCTCCGATGATTTTCCTCCCTTCGTTCGATTTGCGGTAAACTACGCAGTTCATCTTGAAAATGATAATACCTTAACCCTTGAAATTAAATCCAATATCGTTAGTAAAATCTAAATAAATATCGAATCGCGTGAGGTTCAAGTACCCCATCTGTCAGATCAAAAAATCCGACTCGGATAGATATTTGAACAGGATATTTCTAGCACAGTTAAAATCTCTATCCATTTTTATTTCGCAATTTTGCAACAGAAGAACTTGCTTCTTCCCAACAAATGATTCTGCCATCTGCAATTTCCACAGGTTCTCGAAGTGTATGCTTCTTCACAACTCGCGAGATTTATGCAACAAGATTTGTTGAAAACGATTATAATCATGAGCGAGCACACATAGCGATTGCATTCATCTTGAAATTTTTCCCGGATTGCCTTGGGGTGTTATAAGTAGATTTATACTGCGAATTGCATAAGCCTTTGATTATCTAGATGTGTTTCATAACCAATGTAATTTAGGGTTGCGTTTTATGTAGTCACCATTCAAACAATTTGCCTTGATCCTTTTATAGCTGAGTTTATCATAAAAATGCATTTCAACAGTTTATTCTATATCCACGAACTCCACAAAGTTTCATAGCTTCAGATGGTGTTGGATAAATTCTGATCTTACATGTTTTTAATTCGGGTTCATCAGGCAGTAAAGTATAACCCTCATTATCGGGTTCAAACACAAAATATTTCTTGTTCGAACCATTATTCGCAAACCAAGTATCTTTAATTTTTCAGCATGTTGAATATTCTGATCAACGGGTAACCATAAACTCTGTGAAAGATGTTGGTATTGGCATTCCAACCCATAAATTATTTGTCTCTTATGTTGCAAATCATCTTGCTCTCTTTTACGCTTCATGAGGTTGAACCTCCTTGTATCCGTATTTATAAATGTTTCGAAATATGACATCATGTAATTTATTTAAAGAAACACAATATCATATTTCCAAACATTTATTAATAAATTATAAAAAATATACTTACTAAATATAAAAATAGAAACAGGTGTTTAGCATTTAACATTGTGTGATTTGAAACAAAATATTGTAATTATTACATACCGTTCGGCTGCCACATTACGATTAGAGTGGACGGGGAAATGTGATGTGCATATATGTGCATATGTGACATGTTTTTCGTGAATCATATGTGGACATATGTGCGTGCAGTATATAGATTTCATTCAAATTCTTTGCCAAAAGAAGGCATTAATATTTATTTTAATAAATCGAAACTA